GTAAATACATCGGAGGAGGTCACTCATCATGTTAACGGGCCTCCATCAGTCCTACAGTCAGGTTCCTAACGCCGGGGTCCACAGATTAAAGAAACAGGCAGCATTTAGATTTAAAAGTCGCTGATATATAATCTAATATGGGTTTCCTCCGGGTGCTCCGACATGTTCTCCCCGTGTCAGCGTGGGTTTCCTCCAGGTGCTCAGACATGTTCTCCCCGTGTCAGCGTGGGTTTCCTCCAGGTGCTCCAGCTTCCTCCCACAGTCCAAAGACATGCAGGTTAACTGGTGACTCTAAATTGTCCGTAGGTGTGAATGTGAGTGTGAATGGTTGTCTGTCTCTATGTGTCAGCCTTGTGATAGTCCCAGTGTCAGCTGGGATAGGCTCCACCTAAAAAATAAACCTTTTATTAAAAGCTCATAAAACTGAAGTTCCTTTAAATCAACGTTTTTGTACGAATTAATTAAGCAATAAAGATCTGACATGTTAATTATTGAGCTTTAGAGGATGGAGGAAACATCTTTAGATCCTGTCAGTTTATATCAAACTTTAGTGGTGCATGATATTATAAGTTATTTAACTGAATTACCATTAATCATATTCCAACAGAGCAGACAGTAAACCAGCTGTTGGCTCTGGGAGCTCTGAAGCTATCGTCTACTTTCCCTGGTTGATAATCTTACATGTTTCTGTCTGGTCACTGAGCCGATGGAGTCAAAACACATCTGATGTCACTCTGTAACGGTAGCCAACAGGTTGTTTGTTCTCTGTGCTGTAATTTACATTCTCAGGTGTTACTGAAGGAACACATGTAGAAATACCTGGATGGGCAGATTAAATAAAGGCTGATTTTACAATTATTATATGCCTATTATTATTAGTATTACTGGTAGTTGTGCAAGCTCAACTGGCAGAATAATTGTTGGCATCACAGCTTCTATAAACCACCGATATGTTACATTTGTATTTTATTTAGTAACAATTTGGAGCAGTGGTTCCCAACTGGTGGATCGTGGTCCAAACGTGGGTCACGGGTCCATTGTAAATGCAAATGAGTCGCAAACGTGTCAAGTTTGTAAAAAACACTTTATTTTTAGGTACAGTTAATTTCCAGCACAGAGCTTTTATTCTGAAGTGTTGTTTCCTGCTGTAGAGTGAGTGACTAACAGACAGATACTTGACAGAGACAGAAACTAGCTCGACGACACGGCCAAACACAAGTATGACGCTGAATAAATTAAACTGTGTGGACCATGAACTGATGACTGAGGAGAAATCTGGACCGTGTGGTCCTGAACTCAGGATTCTGTGACGCAGTCCTGCACTCTGTGAGCCCACATCCAACCCAAACACCTCCTTGCAGAGCCCACACGGTCTATAAATGTAGTGTTTCATTACCTGACAGAAACGTCTCCGAACATATGATCAACAATTACCTTGCCACAACAATGTCAATAAGAAAACAGGTTAGTAACGTAGAAATGTAATTTCTAGAGAAGTTTGTTATGAAACACATATGTAACATGTCCTTGCTTTGCAGAAACGTACAATGATAACATTTTGTTCTGGAGACTGGACTCTGTGTCGGAGCAGCGTTGGGCTCTGTAGGACCCTGAACAATGAGGAAGGAGAGGCAATGTCAACAAAAGTAAGACCTAAAAATAATATGAGTTTAAGTGTATCTCGAGACTCCACTGAGAAAAACAGTATTTTTACCTCACTGAACACAGGAGCTGCTCGTCTACTGCTGCCTCTGTCAGGTAGTTTGTGTTAAGCACCTGACCAAATCTGAGATCTGCTGTTTGGACTGCTGAACTGGAACTGATCATACTGTACATGCCTTTATCTCATCTCACAATGACTAATGCACTTCACTCCTCACTGAATATGTCTGCTGTTGTTCGACTACAAGCAATCCAGAACACTGCTGCCAGATGACCAATAGATCAAACAGACACTCTCATATTACCTCAACACTAACTCCTTTCATTGGCTCCCTGTTGAGTTCAGGATCCAGTTAGAAATTCTCATTCTCACAGAGCGTCACACGGTCAGGCTTCCTCTTATGTGGCTGAGTTACTTCACCCGAGCTCTTCAGCTCGCTCTCTTCGATCAAATACACTACATTTGTTGTCTGTCCCTCACACTCGTCTTAAGACACGTGGTGATGGAGCTTTTGCAGCCGTAGCACCTAAATGTTGGAATGCTCTGCCTGTTCCCACACGGCCTGCTGGGTCTGTGGTTTCTTTTAAAAGCAGCTGAAGACACACCTGTTCAGACGCCGTTTGGGTAACTTGCTTTTACCAGAGCTGTACTTTTTCAAATTTTGTATGTGCCAGATTTGCCGGCAAGCTGCGAGCGTTTAGACACACGGAGTAGTGTTGTGTCGTTCGCGAACGAATCGTTCAAAAGAACGACTCTGTTGAGTGAACATACTGAACTGAATCACTTCCGGAACTGATTCGTTCATTCCTCAGTTCTGTTGAGCTCAGCAGCGAGCGTGCAGGCCGGGAGTGGAACTGCCAATTCAGTCCATGCAAACGATGAATCAGTCGCTAGTTGTGAGGCAGCCAGGGTGCAGGGAGGGACTGCCTACCGCGTGATGAATCACTCGGTGAACAAATCACACAGTGAACGACGTAAGCCCGATCCCTGAGTGATTCAAATAATTTCTTCTCAGCGATACACTTTCATAGAGACCATTTTCTCCAAGCTAACGGCTAATGTAGCCAGGAGTCAAGCCACATGAACACAATCACACACCTCCCCATTGTTTTAACAGACTTAGTTTCCAGATAAACAAACTTAAAACGTTAGGCTGGCCAGTAATGAGACTCATCAGTGCGGGGCAGACGCAGCAGCAGCTCAGCTGTGTATCAGTTCAGTGAGTCGGACTACGCAGTACACAGTCAGGGCTCCTCCTGCCAAGCACTGAACGATACGGTGAATGAATCTTTTGAACGAATCTTTTTTAATGAACTGATTCTAGTGATTCAGTAACATCTAAAGAACTGCTTTGCCCATCACTAACACAGAGGCGGATTGGCGAGTTGATCCGAGGTGCCCAATTTTCCGCCTTGTAGGGTAGACATATTGGCGGAACCCTTTTAGTTTAAACAGACCGAGGCGACCTTCCACAACGGGAGGGGCTGTTGATGACTTGTGGGAGGGGCTGTTGATGACTTGTGGGAGGGGCTGTTGATGACGCCGCACGTGTGACCCACTGGCGGTGGATAAACAGGAAACAGCTGATAGCAGGAATTAGCGAGCAGCTAGTAGCAAGAGGGAAACACAAACCTGACAGACACTGTAAAGATGAGCAACTGGGGAGACAAGGAATTGCGTGCCCTCCTTGTCTTCGCAAACAAAGAGGCCATTAACTGTCAGATGACGGGGACGGTGATGTACTGGCCGACTTATGAGAGAATCGCCAAAGGACTGACCAGCCGCTGCTTCCCTCCCACGTCACTGTGTACGTCACACGCTGAGCTACACGTTTTGTTACTTGCTCACGCCCCCCATTGCCCCGAAAAAGGCGCATTCTGTATAAACAAAAGTAGGCAGGGGGCATTTTGCTGCACTCCCTGATTTTGTTTTTATACTGCCAATGTTGAAAGAAGACTGATTGGGCTTTCCTGCAAATTTGCACAACTCCTATCTAAAAAGTTCTACTTTGTCTCTATGATTTCTTTTTTGTTGTATAAACCTGCGTGAAGGACTTTGTGACCTATGTCAGCGAAAAGAGCTGTATAAATACATTTTACTTACTTATCTATTGAGTGACCGATGACTCCAATCTAACACTTTTCAGGCAGCAGTCGACCAGCAGCTCCTGTGTACAGAGATGTTAAATCACTGTTTTTCTCAAGAGAGTCTGGCTTTGAAGAGAGCGATATAACAGCTTCATTTTCCCATCGGAAATCACTGTCTGACATTAAGGTAAAAAAGCGAAAATACTCTCATTATAGTCAACACTGTATCTGATACTGATTATTTTAGGTGGCCAATATGCCACATTGTTTAGCTTCCATGTTGGTATCCTGTCTGCTTCTCCAAACTGGGGGTGTGTTGACTGCTGCTGTATTTACTGACTGTGGATAAGACTTCATACATCCCCACCTCAAAACATCTGAACTGTCCCTTTAAAGTGATCATAGTGGTGTATAAAGTGAAGACTGTCAGGGTCAGAGGTTTGATCCCCGACTCTGAACATACAGATCACAGACAGTGTGACATCAGCAGTGTGAAGTTTCTGGTTGTTCATTTGGTGTGTTACAGGACACACTGTCCTTCCTCTGTGTCAATTGAATCCAAGAAGAAGAGGACTGAACCGTCGTCCTTCAGACCTGAGAGCAGAAACATTATAGAATAACACCACAGACAACAGGAGAGCTGGAGATGATGATGATGATGATTGGGAAGAATAGTAAAAGTGAATGTAAAAAGAAAAATAGGGAAAGAAAACAGACGGAAACAATGTGGAGGAAGTTCCCTTTCCGACAAGCCTGTCAGAGTCACATAGCTCTGCAGTATAGATGCTGGCAAAGCAGAAACACGTCAAACCCCTGGAAACCTTAAAAAAAAAATCTATTTAAAGTGTATTTCTTTGTCTGTATTTGGCTGAAACAGCAGTGGTGTGATAAAAGACTATGAAGCAACATGATCAGCTTTTGTCAGCTGTTAATGTTATCTGTTATTTCTCTCAGAGCAGCAGTTTAAGTGGATGCTTCCTGTCGTCCTGCTTTAATATTTCCTGGAAATCCTCAAGTAGTTTTTATTTTTAACTCGTATAAAGTCTAATGTGGTGTGTATGTCCATGATTAGATCGCAAAACAACATCATTTTGGATCAAACACACTCTGAGAGTCAAGGTCGTCTCTCCTGTCGATGTGTGCGTTATCTCATAAAGGGGCATCAAACAGATTTGACCTGCAGCTTCCTGTTTCCTCATCTCATCCACATCACAGTTGTTCTGAAGCTTTCCCACTCGTGTTCGCCCTATTTGGTTCTTCACCTCCAGCCGCTGCAGTTAGATGAATTTTATAGAAAACATGGTGAGATTTAGTTTTTTAACTCAGGGCTTATTTTTGTCTTTTGCAGCCTTCCTGTTGGCGTCTGACTCCAGTCTGATGAAAGGTAAGTTTGTTTGTTTCTGATGTAGGATGAGCTCCACAACTGGACCACACACAGGGACATTTTTCATTTTGATTTGTCATTTTGCTGAAATAAATCTTAATGCATTATTTTAGATCTTTCACGCATGACCTTTTATGGCGAAAGGAACATTATCAGTGCTCTTCTTGTTGCTTTTAACATGGAAATCTAAACTATTTCGATGCACAGTCTAAAAGCATCAAATATTATCATAACTTAAATGTGCAAAATTAATTATTATGTTTCTGTACTCAGTAACCTGTGGCCTGTGTGCACCTTTAATATGGACTGTTTACTTCAGTATACAGTACAGTGTGTACTTCAGATTCAAGTGATCATGGTGCTTTTAAAGGACGTTAACCCCTCTATCAGCTGTGATATGTGATATATATAAACTTTATATTCACTCAGATATAAAGAAAAAGATTCATATTAAGTTCAGAGTTAATATGTCGTCAGATGATCACACAGTCTCACATGTTGCTGCGTGCTATTTTTGTCCTCAGTCCCTCAGAGTCACAGAGCCGCTGGAGTCTTTATGCTCATCTAAGGAGGAAAATACACCTTTAACTTCACCGCTGCCAGAGCTGCCTGCCTATTTCTGAACGTCACCATGGCAACCAGGGCTCAGATGGAGCGAGCGGTGCAGCGTGGACTGGAGACGTGCAAGTAGGCAGAGCATGTGGTGACTGTGATGTTGTTATGTACCTGTTGAGATACTGATCAGTGTGAGGGGAAGATTTTGAGCTGAGAGATTTTTGATGCTAAAAAAAACCCAAAACACTTTAATCAGTTCTGATCACTGTAAATATCAGTGGCGAGCAGGTTTGGTTTCGTACTACAACCATAGACTGTAGAGATAAAGGACGTAGGTACTGTGATGTCACCTGTTGGTTTGTTGACTCTGGTTTGAAGCCTCAATTTGTGAATCCCAGGATGGTGAAGGAATGGCCAGGGGCGTAAATATAGTCAGTGCACTGGAGCCTGTGGGGGGAGGGGCCCGTAGAGAGAGTGGACCCTTGCCACCTTGAATATAAACCTGTGTTCAAAGAGGAGTGATAAACAAAAGAATGTTCCTGAGGTTGAACCGTGCCATTCGCTATTTATGTCGTCCAAATTCAAACGTCCAAAAACACATAATTGAAACCACAAAATATCTCCATACTGCTTGTCTGTAGTGATCCAAGTGTCCTGAAGCCCCAACACAAAAAAATTGTTTGGAAAATCAAGCGCGCACACGTGAGCATGGTGCACAGAGAGGCAGTCAGAGCTACAGGCTACAATGAGGCTAAAAACAGAGTTCAAATGACGTTTTTCCAAACAACTTTTTATGTCGGGGCTTCAGGACACTTGGATCACTACAGACGAGCAGTATGGAGATATTTTGTGGTTTCAATTATGTGTTTTTGGATGTTTGAATCTGGGGCGCCGTCAGCCTCCATTAGGTGGAGTTGTGTTGCTACCTCCTCTCCCCTTGGATCTCTGCAAGGGATGTGAGGACTCTAAAACTTCACCTGAGCCTCCCTCGGCATATGGGTGAGTAGATAATGGCTGCATTTTCATTTTTGGGTGCACTATCCCTTTAAGTCAATATTTGCACGATAGCGCAGACTGGGGCTCATCCTAACTTCCTTATGTCGCTGGAATGGCCTGCCTCAGTCTGTGTTAAGGCCTTTGCACGCTGAGTCTGTATTTTTCGGATGCATTTTTTAATGCGTCATCTGAAAAACGTAACACACAGAAGCTCTGCACACTGAGTCTGATGCATTTGCTTTTTTTTGAGACACATTTCTTCTCTTCTCTCTTCACTGCAGTTATTTATCTGTCAACACTTTCTTCCCGTTTTTCATTTGGCACGGCAGCTGCATGAAGGGGCGGAGCTGTGCGTGGTCCACGTCCTCTTCCTCTTCGTCATCATCCACCTGAATATTACAAACTGACCTGTTGAACGTCTCTGACTGAGTTATGAAATGATTCTGTGCGACCCGTTCCTCTGTCTTGTGGATGTGTTCGGCTGCCACGATGTCTTATAGACTCAACGTCAGCTCACATTTCAGCCTGAAGTGATGCTGCCTCGTGTGATGTCACTTGAGGCAGTTTATCAGATTTTGTTTGACTCCCTGCAGCAGTTCTCACCAAGACCTGTGAACAGACTGATGTGTAAAATCAAAGTTCATTGCACATTAAATCAGCTCCACACAGACGTTCATTATTATTATTATCAATACTTTGATTATTTCCTGTTCGAACAGATTTGGCTGGATAGCCGAACAGATCGCAGTCGTCCCACGAATCACTTCTGACAAAAACTGCGGACAGGGCAAAACCGGGGTGGTGACGTGGTTCGCAGTGCCAGAACAGAAGTTTGGTGTCTTCTGCTTCAACGTGTCAGGTGCTGTTTACTCACTGCTCTGTGTGTGTCTGCTGTATCATGTGACTGAGTGACTGAAACCTTTGTGTCCCTCACCACCTGCACATTTAGAGGAAACACCAAACACATCGACAGCCGGCCCTCAGAGCTCCACCACGCTGACATCACAGACCCAAACCTCCACAGCTGCCACGCCTCCGCTCACATCAACGACCACGTCTCCACCCTCAGTGACGCCCGCAGCCTCTGAGCACACGACTTTAACTCCAGCTCTCCTCACTGAGACAACACAGTCAGCTGAGACTTCCTCCGCCTCCACCACCCTGAGTCCTGTCTCCACCCATGTTCCTGCTTTTGTTTCCCACCTTATCACCTCTAAACCCACTGTCACCGTCACTTTGGTCGGCTCTGCTTCTGCTCGTTCCTCCAGTTCCACTGTTTCCTCTGAGTCAGTGACGCCGCGGCCGACAGGTTCAAGAAACCCTCCTCTGGGAGGTACGACCCTGACTTCTTTATAAATTTACATTTCATGTGGTTGTGACGTTCTCTTGGTTAGTTTTCCAGAGACGAGGCAAATTAATCTGCACTCTAATCTGTACTGCACAAAAACTGTGGTCTACAGTTTGGCACGTGTCCCGCTGAGGTGACTCACCATCCAGCATCCCTCCACCTCCTGGTGACAGTCAGCTCATAAACTACGTCACTTTAGAAACACTGATATGATCCGTATGGAAATAAGAACATATTTATGGTTTGCAGAGACATACAGTGCCAACATTTCCTCTTTATGTTTATCCAAATCAAACTGATCCTACTGTAACTGTAACCTGTGACACTGAGGCCGGAGCTGCAGCTGCTACACAGTGTGACACAACTGTTTGGTACTGAAACTCTGTGCAGGATTTGGAGGTGATGAAGTTTATAATTTCCCCATAACTGTCAGCGACCATGGTCCAGTTTACAGCTCTTGAAAATCTGTTTCATCCTGAGAACACATTTTGAATTCATCACGTCTTTCTTGCCGTATAAGAATAAAGCTGACAGATGCACACGTGCAGGTGAAAACCTTTAAAATCATTTAAATATGTTTGTTAAAGTTTGATTCAGGCTGCTACTGATTACTGTAGAAAACACACATTACCAATTTATGTCAAAACAACATATAAACTAAAAGAAAAAATCAATATAAAGTGTCTTAACATGGTTTCAGATGAAGATTCACCAACTATGATCATAACTAGTTGCTCATCTAATAATGAAGTGATGAAGCGGAGATGAAATCACAGAATTCAAAAGGAAGACATGTTGGATTTTATTAATGAATTCATCTTAGGTGTGAATTGGTTCATGTGTAAATCTGTTTCTCATTTGTAAACATGTTATTTATTTTGCAGACGTACCGACGGCGCTCATTGTTCTTGGCATCATCCTCCTGCTCCTGGCAGCAGCGGGCGTCGTGTGGTACTACAAGCTGTGAGTCATGTTTCCAAAATGTCCTGCAGTTTTCAAAACGCTGTCTGAAGCTGATTTCACCTCGATCAAACGTGTATATTAAAAAACTGGAGGTTGATAATAATAATGATAGTACATTTTGTTTATAGAGCGCTTTGCATGGCACTCAGAGACAGTTTACGTTAAATGAATTTCTCCAGAATTGACATCAGTATTAACAGACCAGAGGCCTCACACACACACACACACACACACACACACACACACACATCTGTCTTTATTCTTACAGCTCCAGTGTGTCGGATTCAGGGGGATATATGGGCAGAAATGGAATAAAATAAAATGAGTGTGTTTTCTTTAGTGTATAATCACCTGAACATAAGAATCATTGTGTTTCCGTTGCCTCAGAATGAGCTGTTAATATCTACACAGGGAGCAGGTCCTCGTCTACAGAGATCACCATGCTGCACCGCCATGTTTCTACAGTACCCCAGAACGGACAAACCAAACACTGACTCTAGATAGAGACGTTTATGTCTACATAGGGAGCAGGTCCTCGTCACCATGTACCCTCATGTTGCTACAGAATGGACAAACCAAACACTGGCTCTAGATAGAGTCATTAGTGCTTTCGTGTTTTCACATTTTCACGTCAGCTGGTGTAGCTAGAAGCCTCTTCATGATGAGCAACATGGGAATATTATTCAGTGTTTTTCCTGGTTTAAATCAGCTGCTGTGTTTATTTTGGAGAGGAAGAGACTCGTACTCATACTCGTCGTCCTCCACTTATCCGGGTCCGGGTCGCGGGGGCAGCAGCCTCAGCAAAGAAGCCCAGACAGTCCTCTCTCCAGCCGCTTCTGTCAGCTCTTCTGATGGAACCCCGAGGCGTTCCCAGGCCAGCCGGGCGATGTAATCCCTCCAGTGTGTCCTGGGGCGGGACCAAGGTCTCCTCCCAGTTGGACATGCCCGAAACACCTCCCAAGGGAGGCGTCCGGGAGGCATCCTTACCAGATGCCCGTACCACCTCAACTGGCTCCTCTTGATGTGTAGGAGCAGCGGCTCTACTCCGAGTCCCTCCTGGATGTCCGAGCTCCTCACCCTATCTCTAAGGCTGAGCCCAGCCACCCTGTGGAGGAAACTCATTTTGGCCGCTTGTACTCGCGATCTCGTTCTTTCGGTCACTACCCAGAGCTCGTGACCATAGGTGAGGGCTGGAACGTAGATCGACCGGTAAATCGAGAGCTTCGCTTTCTGGCTAAGCTCCCTCTTCACCACAACGGACCGGTTAAGTTCCCGCATCACTGCTGACGCCGCCCCAACCCGCCTGTCAATCTCCCGCTCCATCCTACCCTCACTCGTGAACAAGATCCCGAGATACTTAAACTCCTCCACCTGAGGCAGGACCTCCCCCCCGACCTGGAGTGGGCAATCCACCCTTTTCCGGCTGAGGACCATGGCCTCAGACTTGGAGGTGCTGATTCTCATCCCAACTGTTTCACACTTGGCTGCGAACTGTCCCAGCAAGATCTGGAGGTCACTGTTCGATGGAGCTAGGAGGACCACGTCATCCGCAAAAAGCAGGGACGAGATCCTCCCATCACTGAACCTGACACCCTCCACCACTCGGCTGCGCCTAGAAATTCTATCCATGGAAGTTAAGAACAGAACCGGTGACAAAGGGCAGCCCTGCCAGAGTCCAAAAACACTGATTTTTTTTAACATGAAACAGTTTTATTCAGAGTTTTTACTGGTTTAAATCACCTGGGGTTCATTTATAAACATGGCATATGCACAAAACGAGGCCTGAAAGAGGCGTACGCCACTTCCCATGGAAAAGTAGTGATTTATAAAAACAGTCTGATTGAAGAAGCCGGTGAATATTTTTTGGCCTTTGTCCATACGTACGTTTTAAGTGTGGATCCTACACACTGTTTTATAAACAAGACACCCTCTTCATTTGTTTGGAGAGAACAAAGATGGATAATTCAGCTTTGGGTCAAAATTTCCTGAACGTCTAGATCTGAAAATAAAGTTTTCAGAGAAAAAAGGTGAGCCACGACAGAATCAGCTGCTCGGTTTGTTTTGGAGAGGAAGAGACCTCTGTAGACAATTCAGCTCCCGGTACAAACCTCCTGAACAATGAACACCGAAGGAATTCTAACCAGGAGAAGTTCCAGCTGGTTGTAACCTGTAATCCTCGTCGCTGGACTCCAGTCAATCTCCTTAAATCTCACACACTCTTCCTGCGACACTTTGTTGCAGGAGGCAGTTTAACAAACTGATGTCAGACAGGAGCTGTTTCTTTGAGCCTTATTGATTCTTCAGCTGAATTTTAACATGTTTTTATTGATCCATGTTTATTGTGTTTTTAATCTGATGTTTCTACTTTTCTTGTGGAACAGGAATATTTTCACCCTCTGGTCTCCGGCGCAGCTGAAAGACGACACAGAGACAGAGATGTGGAAGCACACCGACAGTGAGATGGACCTGCACGAAGAGGAAGAAGAAGAATCAGACAGGAAGTACTCCAGTGACATCACACTGTGTGTGAATCCAGACATCAAGACAAATTCCTCAGAGGGGAGTTTCTGAAGCAGGATGAAGGAATGATAAATGTCAGTAAATGTTTTAAACACATGTCTATAAGTACTTGGATGGGTTAATTGAACCTATCAGAGTGACTGTAAACATGCAGAAACATTTAATGACATTTTTCTCCAAACTTTTACTGAGCCAGAAAAGTGTTCAGTTATTCAGCGTGTCTGTCCCTCTGTGTTTGTGTGCATGAACACTCAGTTTACCCCAAAATATCTTCTTTACAATTTTGGAATAAATTGACTCAGTTTTTTTAATCAAATTTGTGTCGCTGAAGTTTGTCAGCAGCACGATTCCTTATTAATTAATAAGATGGTTTGCAATTTAATCTAACACTTTCACGTTGCACTGTCGCAACGACCAAATTGAGCATGGGGATCAGAGATAATGAATCAAATGTAGGCTGTAAAGCCACCAGTATACCTCTATGTATATGTAGAATGACAAGGTGTGTGGACACTCTACTAAATAAATGAGTAAAGAGACCGAGCAACAATTATCAGATTGATCTAAAGAAAAAACAAATAGTAATGCAAATAATTATAGCAGAATGCACAGTACCAGTACAAACAACTCACAGTAAATGATACCAATATGTACAGTACCAGTACAAACAACAGTAGACACAGTGGAATTATACCAATATGCACATGTAAACAGTCCCCATTCTAGAATAAACGCTACCGTATGGAAACCATGCGGCCGGTTGGAGCTCAAATTGAATGGGAAACAAAGTCCAGTGTTCACTTAGCTGGGCGTAACTTAGCTGGGCGATGTCCGTGGATAGCTGCCTCCGTGAGAAGAGAACAGAAGGAAGGGAGGGGGGTATCACTGTCCGAGGGCTGCCGTAGAATGGCAACCAGGATGTCAGCCGACCAACACTCGCTACCCGCTCCCTGGTTGCGGCGATTTGCGATGCTGGCCAGCTAGGAATGAACTAGCAGCCAGTACAGTACAGTCCTCTCTGGTCTAGCTAACATTTAGCCGTGTTACTTACTGATCCATTAGAAAGAAAGCTAGCTGGACATGGGTTTTGAAGCCTCTTTGGTCACGGAGCTCCCTCCATCTCTTGAACACCTGACTGAGGTTTACTCTTGTTTTTCCTCTTCTTTTATCACTCTCCTTTTTGCTCTTCTTTGCCTCCTCACACAGAGGAGCTCCTTTTCTTTTGCCAGGCCGTTTTTCACTTGTCACCAAACTTTGTCCATCTGCCATTGTGCTCGTGACTCAACTATCTCATGCCCAACTCCTCATAAGGACCCGCTCCAGTCCCTGATTGGCTGACCGACCAGTTTCGCAATACATGATGCGTTTCCTGCCGTAAAGCAGATTTTTTCTGCGAAATTTCGGCACCGGTGGCAGAAGCTTATTGCAAAGATTGCACAGCCACTAAGTAACCTATGTAAACACTGATAGTCTGATTTTACTGTGGCCACTACCCTGTGCAACCCACATTATTTTCATAATGATATTTTTAGGAAAAGATGCTATCTGTTGCCTCTTTAAAACGTGACCACTGCAATCAGAAATAGACATTGTAGGTGTAATTCTTTACTGTCCAATATGATGAAAATCATGAATAGTAATTAAAAGATAAATAAATTTAAAAAAACCCTCAGTGGTCAGTCAGTAATTTTATCCTAAAATACATATATTTCTAATAATATATATAAATGTTAAAAGTTTGACTTAGAGATTGAATATAAGCATTCTGTTAATAATAAGTATATGTATTAAACAGACAGTACAGTTGCTGACTGCAAAACAGATGTCTGAGTTTTCTTGAATGTTTAATTATTTAACCCACAAACAAATATGAAAAAACAAACAACACATTACACACCAGTCACTCTGATATCACCACTGACCCGTGCATCGGTCCTAGTGCGCACAAAACACTCTGATGACAGAAGAGATGAAAAAAATAAAAATCAAATATTAAAAATAACTGTTAAAAAAAATAATAATAATAAATTAACTTTTAAACATAAAGACAAGTGGGAGTATTGAACAAATTAATTGTCTAAATAATATATAAGAGAGAAACGGGTCCATAATAATATATAATATTAAATCAGAGTAGTTCCTCTCCAGTCCGTCTGGAGGCGCTGATGAGCCGTGTCATTATTTGCGACCCTCCACAGAACCATAGAAGAAGAAGTTCCTCACGTGACCAGAAATCTCCTCCATGCTATGCTAACAGTGTGAATCAGCTGTTAGCTCGGTGCTAACCGTCACCGGACAGTCTCAGGGGGAGAGTAAAGATCTAACCCGGATAACGATGCGCCGCCTCGGCTCCGTTCAGCAGAAGATCCCGTGTGTGTTTGTGACGGAAGTGAAAGAAGAACCGTCCAGAAAACGGGACTGTCAGGTGAGAGCGGAAACACCGAGGATGAGGATGATGATGATGTTAGCATGAAACAAATCAGGGGGACGTTACCTTAGAGTGTTTCACATACAGAAACAAACCCGTCAGTTTGATCCCGGTACACCGGAGCTATTGTTTAATGGTTTGTTAACGGTGACGTATTTTCTCTGGTCAGTAATGACTGGTACCTTCATCCTCCTCCTCATCCTCCATCAGCTGTTACCTCAGGGTCAGACTGCATCTGTCACTAACACACCAACACCACAGAGTAAACAACACCAAGCTACCAACAAATAAAGTACTAAGTATTTAATAATAATAATAATAATAATAATAATAAGTGTGAGTGTGTTATAACGATGAGGTCATGTTAACATCACTTTAATAATGTTACAGCCTGTTGTGCTGATGGATCAGCATCATGTGTGTGTAATAGAGAGGAGAGGTTTAATGTCTGGTGGGAAATGCACCCAGAAATAATTTGTATAAGCTTTCATCCAGGGCAGTAATTATAGTTTATACTTTAAACACACACAACATTGTTTATAAAGATCTCTGAAGCTTTGTTATTAAAGAAACATGTCATTTACTGAGCTGTACATGTGACAGAAAGAGTTTCAATAACAGTGTAATTTGTCTTCCCCCAATAAGATCTGCTAATAAACAAATAGGGGTTATTAAATATGATCAAAGTACACACTGAATAAAATCCTTGATGGTAGGACAGAGAGCGAACATCATAGACATCATAGAGGCCTGAAACAGCGTCAGTCCAGTTCATACTCACACAACAGTTAAAATACAAGTACATTTATAGTGTGTGACATAAGGCTCCCTGATTAGTTCTCTGTAGTGACAGTAGGGTGTGTAATATACAGTGTTTAGTTTAGAAAACATTTACAACCTGCAGAACACACAAGACGAACCAGAGACACTCAGAACTAACCATTCTGACTGTATCCATGTCACAGAGTTTCAGACTCCAGTCTCAATATAACATATAAGTTATGGTATATAATGTAAGTCTTAATATCAGTGGCACAAAACATTGTTGATAAAGACCTGTTCAGCTTTTTTATTAAAGAAACGTGTATAAACTTTAGGCCCGTTTCCACCACAGGAACTTCGGGGTAATTTTACGGGGTCGGGCCGTTGGTGCGTGTCTCCACCGCAGAAACCACCCCCGAAGGACAGAGTTCCAGAACTAAACAAGTCCCTGCCTCGGACTAGGTACTCAGAACGGCCCTGAAAAACTCCTGGTGGGGCTTGGGGTTTACTTGGTGCTGATTGGATATACCCAAGGAGGGATGTGACATCAACAGAAAGCAACAAAATAGCCGGCATTTTTAAAACTCAGCAGACGAGGAGTCGCATTTTTAAAAGGAGTCGTAAGAAGAAAAGCAAGAAATGGAAGATAGCCAAGATATGTTGATAATCGTCTTTCTTATGTCTGCTTTCTTCTTCTTACTTCGGCTTCTTATTCTTTGTTGTTGTTCTTCTTTGTTGGTTTCTTTGACGCGTCGCCCCGGTCAAAATGGTCGCGCAACGATTACGTCACACACAGAGCCCGGTAACTTTGCAGGAACCTTCCTCCTACTCCGCCCTCTCAGTGGAGACACGGCGGTTGAGAGGGCCGAGCGAGAGGACGTTCCTGTAAAGTTCCTGCCCCCCAAATAGTAGGGCCCGATGGATATGGATTTTTTGGGGCCAATGCTGATTCCAATATTATGGAATAAAAAAAATCCGATATCCGATATATTGGCCGATTAAATTTTTACGTTTTTCAACTTAAAACCCCTGAAATACCTGCTTTTGATGGCTTAAATATAGTTCAAACACTCGTTACAAAGATATAAATTGAAAGAAGAACATTTTACTATTTTCAAATACTTTGATTATCAGAAATGGTGTGGAACAAGCAGAATATGAACAATTTGAACACAAAATAAATCAAAAATATGATGTGCAAAAAGGCAGTAAACCTCTGGGAAATAATCAACTTTTGGCCGATTGCTGATTATTCTCTAATGGCTATAATCGGCCGATTAAATCGGTCGGGCCCTACCAAATAGTACCAGGAACTTCTTCAGTGGAAACGGGCCTTTAGTCCTCAGCTGTACATATTACTGTTGAAACTAAACTCAGTTCTCTCTGATGAGGAAACTGTAACAGTGACACCAATTTCTAAATCATATAAGATATTTTTGCACTCCAACTAATACATGGTCTGCCAATATTAATGTATCTGTGATAAGATAAAACTGACTAAAATCGATAAACCTAGCCCAGCCAGAGATGACACAGAGTATGTGTGTAGAGCCAGCATCCACATGAAACCCAGTGCTGAAACTTTAATCAATCAGTTTCAAGTTTCTTTTTTAATTAATTGATCGTTTCATCTGTAAAATGTCAAAAATTTCATTTCATATTTGTCCTGATAAATAGTCCAAAACCCAAAATATTCAATTTACAGTTGTAAAAAAAAAAAAAACAGCACAGACAGTCTTCACATCAGAGAAGCAGCAAATATTCATCAGTTTACTTGATAATTGACACAAAGAATAAAGAAAACATCAAATTTGTGTGCGATAGAAAGAGTAACTGAAAATAAGACCATGTTAGTTCAGTGCCATCAGTTACCACGGGGGGAAATGTTAGAGAGACAGTAAAACATCTTCTCCCCTGCAGAATATTAGGGTGTAATAATACATCAATCTGGATCAATATTGAGTCAGTGATCAGTGATCCAACACTATGGATGTAAAGTAATATCAATACATATTGTCATCTTTAAAAGGATAGTGCACCCAAAATTCAGCCATTATCTACTCACCCATATGCCGAGGGAGGCTCTGGTGAAGTTTTAGAGTCCTCACATCACTTGTTGAGATCCA